TGAAAAAGGTGAAGGGATTAGCCAAAGAACACATGCGCATAACCCATGGACACAGACAACAGTGTGTCGATAGCCAGAGGGAAGTGAGGGGTTAGAGCTGGGTGGAGGCAGGCAAAGGTAAGGGGACGATGGGAGGAGGGGGGGCGGAGATTGGGCACATCTGCAATAGTGTCAACAATAAAAATCAAGTTTAAAAAATTTATTTGTGTCGCTACATCTCTATAAGTTTTGGTATTTATTTATTTATTTATTATTTTTTTAAATTGATTTCAGAGAGGAAGGGAGAGGGAGAGAGAGATAGAAACATCAGTGATGAGAGAGAATCATTGATCGGCTGCCTCCTGCACGCCCCACACTGGGGGTTGAGCCCGCAACCCAGGCATATGCCATGACTGGGAATAGAACCGTGACCTCCTGGTTCATAGCTCAACCACTGAGCCATACCAGCCAGGCTCAGAGTCTTATAATTTATCTTTGAAATTTTTCTTTTCTTGAGACTAAAACCATAAAAATTAAGTCCGCAGGCTGATGCTCTATCCAGTGAGCCAAACCAGTCAGGGCTGCCCAAGTCCCTTTGACAACTCCTTTTATCAGGTAACTGCTTTTCCCCAATACAATGGGGGAGGTTTACTTTCTAGAGAAATGACAGGGAAAGAGTGAGGTGTAGGGCTGTAAAGAAACGTTAGGTAAGAATCTATTTCTAGAATTCAGAGACTCTTAGTTTCTTTCTCCATCCTACTTCCTGAAATTCAGCAGCCAGATTTTTAAAAAACTCCAGAGAGTGAACAGGCCTGGAGGAAAGACCTCAATAGTTGCCATGCAGATAGAAAATTCCCTGACACGTGTATCAGAGTGAATGAAATAAAAGCATCCAACCCAAGACACAGGGTCATGAATTTCAGAACACGAGGATTAAAAAGAAAATCACAAAAACATTCAAAGAGCTGCATCATTTCGTGTGTAAGGATTGGGATTCAGAACACCATCAGAATTCTCAAGAGCAACTATCAAACTGTACATTAATAAGAGTATATTCTCAGACCTGTACGTTTGACAAAAACTTTACCCCCTCTTTTCCCTTTTTCATCCAAATGTCCAATGTCATGCCAGAGGAAGTCATGGGCTCGAGGAGTCAGGAAGGTCAAAGGAGAATGAAGTTGTCAGGGAGCTTGCTAGACGCCAGGCCAAGGAAATATCCACTTCAAAATGATTAGGTGGATAAAGCAGGTGTGAGGGGAGACACCAAGCAAAAAAGAGAAATGATTGATTATCTGAGGTTTCCTAATAACGGGGAAATTGTTATTAGGAGTTAGAAGCATCTACCTCAGTATTTAGACATAATTCTAAATCGACAGTGCCCTCGGCGCTCCCGGGCCTGACTCTTGTTTCAACTGTGCTTGGACGGAACAGATCCCGGGACACCCCTTCTTCCAGCCTCCTGCCACCTTCCAGCATCTTATCCAGTCACCACCTTCAGAATCACCTCCGGGACCAGCCAATACACCGGGTGTTTTTCTACCTTAACTCCTTACCAAACAACCATGAGCTCCCAAACCCATCAGAATTATTCCACCGAAGGGGAGGCTGCCATCAACTGCCTGGCCTGCATCTGCAGGGCTCCCACCTACCTCTCTCTAGGCTTCTTTTGAACACGACGTTGTAGCTCTCCAGGGCGCCATTTCTTCCCGAGTTGGCTGGAGACGCGCGAGGGCGCCGAGCGGCTCTTAAAGTTGCAAAAACAGCGCGGTGGCCGCATTCTCTCCAGGACGTGCTGAGCCTCCCCAAGATGAGTGGGTGAAACTCAGGGCCATGGAAGGCGCCCTGGCCTTGGAGAGGAACCTGAACCAGGCCCCATAGGAGCTGTAGGCCCTGGTTCTACCAGAGCAGCCCCTCAGCTCTGTGACTTCCGGGAGAACCACTTCCTGGGCGAGGAGGTGAAGCTCATCAAGAAGATGGGCGACACCTGGCTCCCCTCCACAAGCTGGCGGACCCTGAGGCTATGCTGGGTGAGGCTCACCCTCCAGTGCAATCAGGAGCGTTTGGAGCCCAGAGGCCTTTGAGGGGCCCCCTATGCATTCCCTGATGTATGGCTTTTACCTAAGCCTCTCCCCCAAACTGCTAGCTGAAAAATCAGACAGGCCGAAAACCAGGACTACAGGCTTTATTAGAGGAGAAGGACCTGCCGGGCTGTCTTGCAAGGGGGCACAGCAGCACGTGCAGAGGTGGGCACGCCTTTTGAGGGGCGGAATGGGAAGGGGTGGGGGCTTAGTGTCCTCGGTGCACACTGATTGGTGGCTTACTGTATGGTCCATATAGGAACAAGGGCTTAGGGTATTTGGCAGGTGTGGATTGGTGGTCCAATGTATAGTCTATATAAGGTACATGGTTAGTCACTCAGGTATTTCCGGGCTGCAGGTTATGGCTTACTCTGCCCACCAGTTGGGGGAAGGGCTTTTAGTAATAGTAAAAAAATTGAGAGTCCGGGCAAGGTCAGGGGGCGAAGGTCTGTCTTCCATAGCTACTTCCTGCTGAGAGGGGGCGTCGTCAGGGAGGATCTATCACTAGCCATTCTTTTAACCACCGTGAAGCCCTCTCCCATGCATTGGACCAAATGAAACAATAAAGCTTTTTGTAGCAAGAGAGAGAGAGAGAGAGAGAGATTTTAAATGAAGATATAGAAAATTATGAATTGAATGAAAGAATCATGGTTAAGTCCAAGAAAGTACCAAAAATGAAACATAATCATAGTCGTCTTACCAGAGAGGATATATAGTCAGAATGATGCTGAAATGTGATCTAACTATATTTGGGGGAAAAAGAATAAAGGGAATTGTGTGCGTGTCTGTGTGTATTTTGTATGAGGTGGGGATGGAGAAGAAAATTCTCACCTTCTTTACCAGGAAATTAGATATTGTCTAAAAATAGGCAAGTAAGAAATAGAAGTCTTTATTTATTTATTTATTTATTTAAAATAGACTTTTATTGATTTCAGAAAGGAAGGGAGAGGAAAAGAGAAATACAAAAAACATACAAATACACAAAACATACATTATCATTTAACTTTCCAACCCACATATTATGTTGATATAAAATTATATTTGATTTCCTATTTTTCTTTGTACAAGGACTGTAATTCCTTGACCATTTCATCATTTCTGTTTATATCATGAGGTATGCTTATACAGGTATGGGTTGCTGTATCTTAAGTCTAGCTAATAGGAGAGCTGTATGTATCTACATGGCAAATATGTCTGGGTGTATTTCTGGGCATATAACTGATGTTTACAATGACATCAAGACACCCTAGTGCTGCATGTATCCCTGAATCGGTATGTCAATACGGTATGCATTTTCCTGTTTTCCATCTGTCTTACTTATGTCTTACCAGCTAAAGTCCAGGAAGAGATTGACCGCGTCATTGGCAGAGAGCGGAGCCCCTGCATGCAGGACAGGAGCCACATGCCCTACACGGATGCCATGGTGCACGAGGTCCAGAGATACCTTAACCTCCTCCCCACCAACCTGCCCCATGCGGTGACCTGTGATGTTAAATTCAGAAACTACCTCATCCCCAAGGTAAGATGTGTTTCACCCACACTGACCTCAGTGGTCTTGGAGGTCCCATTTTCACAGTATGGTGTTCATCTTCTATCAACACAAGATGAGAGAGGGGCAGAAACCACACTTGTGGCAGCTTGAGGGACTCTAGTATTTCCAGTTGAGACTATCAACCTGTATAACAGGTTCTGACATATGACAGTGTAGGTCTTGCAAATTTGTCCTACTTCTTTAATATTGTTTGGCTAATCTTAGCTGCTTACATTTCCAAACTAATGTTAATATCAGTTTGTCAATTTGCCAAAACAATCTGCTGGGACTTTTACCAGGGTGTCATTAGATCAATTTGGAAAGTCTTAACATCATGACACATTGAATCTTTCAATTAATAGGTATGGTATACACTCCCAATTGGGAGGGGTTTTCTTTAATTTTCTTTTTTTTAAATATACTTTTATTGATTTCAGAGAAGAAGGAAGAGGGAGAGATAGAAACATCAATGATGAGAGAGAACCATTGATTGGCTGCCTCCAGCATATCCCACACTGGGGATCAAGTCTGCAACCAGGGCACATGGCCTGACTGGGAATTGAACCGTGACCTCCTGGTTCATAGGTCAACACTCAACCACTGAGCCACAGCGGCCGGCCTTTAATTTTCTTAATACATTTTTTCAGTGCATGGAAATATAATTGATTTTATTGTTTTGATGACCTTATATATAGGAACCTTGCTAAATTTAAAATCATTGCTGGTAATTTGTCTCCAGGTTAATCTGCAATTTCTACATACATCATCACCCTGCTATCTGGGTTAAATATCCTTGTTTCATCCTTTATTTCTAATTTTCAGGAAAGTGGAGGTTTAACATCTCACTAGTGAGAATGTTTTGGTAGATATTCTTTATAGATTGGGAATTATACCCTCTTATTTTTCATGATTTTTTGTTCTGAATGTGTATGTGATATTTTCATATCAATTTTCTGCATCTATTGGTATGGTTGTATACTGGCTTCACTTTCCCACTCAGTGTGCCTACACAGCTGGATTTGATTTGCTACATTTTGTTCAGGACTTCTGTATTTATACTGATAAAACATTTTTCGTCTACAATTTTTCTTCTTCAAAATTTTCTTGTCATATTTCTGCTATGAAGGTAATGCTGGTCTCAAAAAAGTAGGTGCCCTAATGTAGGTTTATTTTGATTGTCTTCCCCTTCTTCTTGTGGCCACTTTGTCATGTCTTTGAAATGCATGGCTTATTATTTGTCTGTTTCACAGAACACTTCTCAATGATGTGAGGTTGACTTGTGCTTTATTTTGGTCCTATCTAAAGAATATTGCCAGAACAAGGTCTCAAAGGTTTACCCTTATCTATTTCTAAAACCTTATAGTTTTAGCACTTACATTTAGATCATTGATCCATTCAGGTAAATTTGTACTGATGGCGTGAAATAATGGTCACACTTCCTTTATTTCTTGTGAATATCTATTTGAGCAACACAACAGAAATATATTGCCTTTTGTACTTTTTTCATATCTTAAAGTAAATTTTTAATATATTATTTGTTTAAAAATATACAAGGGGCCCTGGACTGGTTGCTCAGTGGGTGGAGCATGTCCCATACATCAAAAGGTTGTAGGTTCAATTCCCAATCAGGGCATATACCAAGGTAGCAGATTTGATACCCGGTGTGAGCAAGTATGGGAGGCAACCAATTATTCACCCAACAGTTTTAATGTTAATTGATAAAACTTGACTGGATTAATAATCCTAAAATGAATTGTTGCAAAATGAGGATTTTTTTTTTCTAATTTTAACATTCTGTATTTGTAGGCTAGGATTAATCTGTAATTAAATCTCCCTTGTATTTTTTATTTATTTTATTTATTTTAAAAGTTATAATTGGCATACAATGTTATATTAGTTTCAGGTGTATAACATAGTGATTCAGTATTTTTTGTTGTTGTTGTTAACCCTCACCCAAGGATATTTTTCCATTGATTTTTAGAGAGAGTGGAAGGGAGGGGGAGAGAGAAATATCAATGTGAAAGAGACACATTGATTTGTTGCCTCCCACACATGCCTTGACCAGGGCCAGCACTGCAACATGCTCTTGATCGAAATCGAACCCAGGACCCTTGAGTTCAAGGGCTGATGCTCTATCCACTGAACCAAACAGCTAGAGCTCAACATTTATTTTTTTGAATTTTATTTTTCAACTAGAGGCCTGGTGCACAAAATTCATGTACTGGTGGTGGTGGTGGGGGGGTGTCCCTCAGCCCAGCCTGTGCCCTCTCACAGTCCGGGACCTCTTGATCCTTACCGCCTGCCTGCAGCGGAGGCAGGAGAGGCTCCTGCCACCACCACTGTGCTCGCCAGCCATGAGCCTGACTTCTGGCTGAGTGGTGCTCCCCTGTGGGAGTGCACTGACCACCAGAGGGAAGCTCCTGCATTGAGCATCTGCCCCCTGGTGGTCAGTGGGTGTCATAGCGACGGGTCGTTCTGCCGTTCAGTCAATTTGCATATCAGGGTTTTATTATATAGGATTATAGTTTACATTCAATATTATTTTGTATTAGTTTCAGGTGTATAGCATAGTGGTTATACAATCATATACTTTACAAAGTGTCCCCCCCCTCTGATAATTTTAGTACCCACCTGACACCATATATAGTTATTATATTATTAACTATATTCCTTATGCTGTACTTTACATCCCCGTGACTATTCAACATTTATTTATCTTATGTGCTCACCACACTAAGTCGAGTAACCATCTGTCACCATGCAAAGCTATCACACTACTATTGATTATTATATTGCTCTTCGCCTTTTTATCCATCCCTCCCCTTCTTCCCTCTGGCAACCATCAGTTTGTTCTTTGCCTATGTTTTTAATTGCTATGATGTTTTTAAATCAAGACTAACAATCTACATGGCAATGATAAGACTAACAGTTGTATTTATTGTCATGACCACAGAAAAGATTATTTTTTATTAGATCAGATGTCTGTTTATAAAAGCCATATGAACAGATAACTCCAGACATTTCAAGTTCCAACTTTCGTTTTTTAAACCTTCCATTTTAAACCATAATTCACCTATGAGATGAGTGAAGGTTGAAGTCATAAAATAAAGTAGGTGGTGGGGACATACAGCAGTGTCCAAACGTGATGATGAGCAGAATGGATTCAGAAGGCCTGCCACCCTAGGACCCATGTACTCAGCACTTCAAATGCTATTGGAAATCACTTTAGCAACATCCCTGTCACTGGTCTTAAACTGCTCATTGTTTATTACTTGTTCTCTCTGGCTCACAATGCCACTGCCCTTCTTAGGACCTAGGATTCCTCATCTTTAGATCATAAAATTGGACTAAAGGACTTGCAATCTTTCTTCCAGCTCCACAACTTCTTTTTTTTTTTCAAATTTTAACAGCCAACAGTTAGTCTTTTTTTATACATATAAATATATTTTTATTGATTTCAGGGATAGAGAGTTAGAAACATCGATCAGCTGCCTCCTGCACACTCCCCACTGGGCATGTACCCGCAACCAAGGTACATGCCCTTGACTGGAATTGAACCCGGGACCCTTGAGTCTGCAGCCCAATGCTCTATCCACTGAGCCAAACCGGTTAGGGCCCAACTTGTTTTTTAAACCTTCCATTTTAAACCATAATTCACCTATGAGATGAGTGAAGGTTGAAGTCATAAAGTAGGTGGTGGGGACATAGAGCAGTGTACAAACGTAATGATGAGCAGAATGGATTCAGAAGGCCTGCCACCCTAGGACCCATGTACTCAGCACTTCAAATGCTATTGGAAATCACTTTAGCAACATCCCTGTCACTGGTCTTAAACTGCTCATTGTTTATTACTTGTTCTCTCTGGCTCACAATGCCACTGCCCTTCTTAGGACCTAGGATTCTTCATCTATAGATCATAAAATTGGACTAAAGAACTTGCAATCTTTCTTCCAGTTCCACAACTTCTTCTTCTTCTTCTTTTTTTCAAATTTTAACAACCAACAGTTAGTCTTTTATATATATATATATTTATTGATTGATTTCAGAGAGGAAGGGAAAGGGAGAGAGAGATAGAAACATCAATGATGAGAGAGAATCATTGATTGGCTGCCTTCTGCACGCCCCCCACTGGGGATCGAGCCTGCAACCCAGGCATGTGCCCTTGACTGAATCGAACCCAGGACCTTTCAGTCCACAGGCCCAAGCTCTATTAACTGAGCCAAACCAGATAGGGCTCCACCACTTCTTCATAACTCACTTTACCTTCTGTTCTTTCCAGGGCACGACCATTATAACAAATCTGACTTCTGTGCTGCGAGATGACAAAGAATTCCCCAACCCAGAGAAGTTTGATCCTGGCCACTTCCTGGATGAGGGAGGCAACTTCAAGAAGAGTGACTACTTCATGGCTTTCTCAGCAGGTAATACAAATTTATTTTCTTCTCTTTTTTTCAAAATATGTTTTTTTAATTGATTTTTTTTTAAGAGAGAGGGGAAGGAAGGAGAGATGGAAACATCAATGGGAGAGAAATATCGGTGGGCTGCCTCCTGCACGCACCCTAATGAGGGTTGAACCTGCAACCCAGACATATGCTCTGACCAGGAATCAAACCAGCGACCTCGTAGTGCATGGGATAATGCTTAACCAACTGAGGCACACCGACTAGGCCACAAATTTATTTTCGTTGGTACTTCATGGGGCAGGATATTTTTTGGGAATCAGTTGGAACTTACGTAGCCCTCACCCTGGGACTGGTAGAATTGCTCTTTGTCCATGGCCAGAAGCACCTCTCCGCAGGCCCACACACTATCTCTCCTCATGGCCCACCCTTGTTATTAGGCTAGATCACTGGGGTTTTGGAGAGTTGACTTAGTTCTTCCAAGTTCAGAAATGAAATCTGAGCTTGGTACTGAAAATACAAGAGACATGCATGCATCCCAGCCAAAAAGAACAGTGTGGTACAAAACTGGAAACTTCAGGGTGTGTAGGAGATTGATGAAGAGTAGGTATACGTAGAGCAGGAACAAAGGCTATGAGAATGGGAAGAATGATCATGAGACATCAGGCTACAAACAGAAAGAACAACCAATGTATTTGTGTTTCTAGGAAAAGGCTGGTAGCAACCTGAAAGAGAAGTTATAAAGTGAGAACACTTAATGAAATACTTGGTATAGTGCTGATTCTCAATAAATATTTGTTGAAAGAAGAATACCTGTTAGGATAAGACAGTGGTCGGCAAACTGCTGCTCGCGAGCCACATGTGGCTCGCGAGCCGCAGTTTTCCGACCACTGGATAAGATGTTGGGTGGACAGGATATATGTCCACCCTTTGTCCATCTGCTTATCCAACCATTCTGCCTGCCATCCATCCATCCAACCATCCAACCAACCATTAATCAAATAATTACTGCACATTCTCTTTCTGGCATCCAGGAAGTCAGTGTTCCAGGATTATCTACTCTGTGTGTGTGTTATTTTCAGGAAAACGGATGTGTGCAGGAGAGGGCCTGGCCCGCATGGAGCTGTTTTTATTCCTGACCACCATCTTACAGAAGTTTACCTTGAAAGCTGTGGTCGATGTAAAGGACCTTGATGTCACCCCAGTTATGAATGGCTTTGTTTCTGTGCCGCCTCCTTACCAGCTCTGCTTCATTCCTGTGTGAGGAAGGACAGACCTTCTGTCAGCAACTCCCGCTCATCTGGGGCATCGTTCATCTCTTTCCCTCTTCATCCCCGTCCTGGGGGTCCCTTCTCTGACCTCTCCTCTCCTCATCACCCGCTTCTCTCAAGATCCAGGATTATCCAGCCTCCATGAAAGGACCATTTCCTGAGTCTCACTGGGCAATGGATCTGCTCTTCTCCATACTCTGAAACATTTGCATTCGCCACACGTATGCTAACATAATGCTGAGTGGTACTGTGTAGCCAATATGAACAGAGCAAACTGATTACTGTGCGCCAGGGCAGGGCCATTCTCCTCTGTGTGTTCTCAATAAAAAGCATCATTTGCTGTGCCCGTTCTCAGACTTTCCTTCCTTCGTGCATAAGGCAGGTAAAAAAATGAAAGAAAGTAGCCCTAGCCGGTTTGGCTCAGTGGATAGAGCGTCGGCCTGCAGACTGAAGGGCCCCGGGTTCGATTCCAGGTGCAGGCTCCTCCCTGACCCAGGGCCTGGTCGAGGTGCGTGCAGGAGGCAACCAATTGATGTATTTCTCTCTGTCTTTCCCTCTCTCCTCCAGTCTCTAATGGAAAAACATCCTCTGGTGAGAATTAAAAAAGAAAGTAATACAAAGAGGCATGCTGGTCCTCTTAAGGATAAGCACAGAGAAGGACAAAGGGGACGCACACAGAAAAGCTCTCTTGGCTGTGTGTCACTTAGAGTTACTTGAGGTTTGAATTTAAAAGAGAGAAAAATTGTGTTCAGGAGCTAAGGATAAGCACAGAGAAGGACAAAGGGGACGCACACAGAAAAGCTCTCTTGGCTGAGTATCATTTAGAGTTACTTGAGGTTTGAATTTAAAAGAGAAAAATTGTGTTCAGGAGCAGTTTCATCACTGGGATCGGGATCAGTAATAGCGAGGAAGTAAATACAAAGGAAGCCACAGAAACCTAAAAATAAAAATCAGAGCAGAAATAAAAAACACACACGAGTAAACAGGAAATCAATAGAGAAAATTAATGAAAAAAAAGCTGTTTTTGAAAGTTCAGTAGAATTGATAAACCCATACAGCCAGTACCCCCTGAAAAGAGAGAAGATACAAATTAGTGTTGTCCAAGTGAAAAGAAGGGCCATTGCTTTGATGCCATGGACATTTAAAGGATCATAAAGGAATATTATGAACAACTCTATGCCCACAAATTTAATAACCTACGTGAAATGGGCCATTTCGTTAAGCACAGTCTGTCAGACCTGACAAGAGAGAGTAACAGCAACAGGTCCTTCAAGAAGAACACGTGAATCTGGTGGGGGGGTGGCTGTGATCATCCTGGGAGCTCCTTACCCCGGAACCTTCCAGGGAACAGGGGCCGCTCTGAGGGGAGAAGGGAAAGCCCTGTGGAGGTGCAGCTCATGTGAGGAATCCCATCTGCATGCCCACCCTCCAGTGCACCTACACTGCTGAGGGGGCCTCACCGTTACCTGGACCCCACACGGCCAGGGCACCAGCCCTCAGAGCATCCAGCCTCTGGCCCTCCACAAACTCTCACCACTCACCACCTAGTTCAAAGCTATCATTATTTTTTTAAAATATTTTTTATTCATTTCAGAGAGGAAGGGAGAATGATAGAGAGATAGAAACATCAATGATGAGAGAGAATCATTGGTCGGCTGCCTCCTGCACGCCCACTACTGGGGATCGAGCCCACAACCCAGGCATGTGCCCTTGGCTGGAATCGAACCTGGGAACTTTCAGTCCGCAGGCTGAGGCTCTATCCACTGAGCCAAACTGGCTAGGGCAAAGGTATTATTTTAATCAACAGATATATATTAAGGCCCAGAAGCATCTTTTGCTTGCTCTTCCCACGGGGGTACAGATAACATGAAGATCAAGGAAGAGTGTTTTGATAAACCAAGGGATTCTAGTACCTGAACTGCTCACAGAGAATGTGTGCCTTGAGGAGAGTGACGAACCTGTGGGATTGAGATCTGCTACTTAGAGTATCTACTAGACTGTACGACAGAACAAGAGCAACATAAATGATGTCCATTTAATAAAACTTCTGAAAACTGTTATCACCGTCAAGATGCAAAGTGAACACAAGCAAAACTACTACGCGCTTGTTCTTGGCTGAACAGCTTTGCCCTCAGACAACCCTGCTTGCACATTATACCCCTCCAGGATCCGCCCGATTTGGGGAACTCTCCGGTGACTTCCATGAACTGCTTTCTTGTAATTTCTCCAGATTGAAACATTGTTCTCCGGGAGAAAGTGAGATTTATCGAGCTACTCCAGCATGGCCAGGATTAACTTCTCCACCATATCACTGGACTTCAGGAAAGGGACCCACTTCCATCCCAGCCCCACAGCTCCTGCCCTGGAGTGAGTTCTGGGAAGAGGCTGGGGCGCCTGGTTTGTCCTGATTTCAATCCCTGACCTCACTCACTCATCACACAGTCATTCCTTAAGTACATTCTGAAAGACAGTGTAGCTTGTTGATTACGATGTGGCTTCTGAAGTCAGATGGTCAGGGTTCAAGTCCTATCTCTGCCACCTATAAACCAAGTGTCCTTGGGTAGGAAGGATATTTCACCTTTGTGTGCCTCACTCTACTCATCTCTGAAATGGGGAGGGTAGCAGTCCTGACATCAGAAGGCTGTTGTGAGGATTACATGAGATGATTCAGCCAGAGCATAATGTCAAACGCTAAAAACATGAGCTATTGTTTGTGAGTTCTGGTACCCACACAGGCACTGGAATCCAGATGGAGAAGGACCAGCTGAGAGACATTGTGTTTCTTTAGACTTGGCTTATGGAAGTCTGGACCACTTACTGGCCTTGTGATTTTGGACATGTCAGTGAACATGTTTGTGCCTCAGTGTCCATATCGGTTAAATGGGGGTGGATTAAACTGTACCAATTTCACTGAATTGAGTATGTTGTTTTCATAGGAGAATAGGGTCTACCACATCATAAATACTTCAAAGTTATATCACTGTGAGGATCGTTTTTACCTATTGTAACGATGCACCACAATGCACTTACCACCTTCAGTAGCACTTTAATTTTTTTCAAATCTATCATGAATAATCATGAAATGAACGTCCACATCCATGCGATTAAGGGACACATTCAAGAATATCCATGAAATAAATGCATAAGAAGTGGAATTACTTGAAAGACAGGTATGTGCATTTACATTTTAACAGACATGGTCAAATCCACCTTCAAAGAGAAAGCATGAATTCACACTCCCACAAACAATTCACTCATTCATTCTTCATTCATTCAAGTAGTCATTCATTTTCTCAAATATTTACTGAGCCAAAATGTGCCAGGCACTACTCCAGCCAGTGGATATTTGTTAGTGAGCAAAACAAAGATCCTTGCTTACCTGGAACATGTATGTTAGCAGATGGTAGGTACACACGAGTAATTCAGTGTGTTTTTAATTTTTATTCCCCCCACAACTAATAAAGTTGAGGACTTTTTCTCATGTTTATTGACCACATGAAAATCCTCTTCTGTGAAGTGACTATTCAAACATTTTGTCCATTTAAAAAATACTTGGGCGTCTTTGTGTTGTTTTTAGTTCTTTATGAAATCTGGATATAAGTCCTTTTGTGGATATATTCATCGGAGATATTTCTCCCAGTCTGTACCTTGCCTTTTGAGTATCGTAAATGGTATCTTTTGATGAATAGGTAGGAGTTTAAATACTAATTTAACTAAAGACCTATTTATTGATCTCTTATAATTAGTACTTTTTGTGGCCCATTTTTGAAAAATTTTTGCAGAGTTCAAGGTCATAAAGACTTTCTCTTATGTCTCATACTAGAGGCTTTATAGTTTTATTTCTTTTGTTTTGTTTTGTTAATCCTCACCTGAGGATATTTCTCCATTGATTTTTAGGGAGAGAGGACAAGAGAGGGAAAGACAGAGAGAAACATCGATGTGAGAGAAACATGTTGATTGGTTGCCTCTTGCACGAGCCCCGACCAGGGCCTGGGCCGGGGAGGAGCCTGCAACTGAGGTTTGTGCCCTTGACCGGAATCGAACCTAGGACCCTTTGGTCCGAAGGCCAATGCTCTATCCACTGAGCCAAACCAGTTAGGACTATTGTTTTATTTTTTAAAGGATGGGGAAATTAGAAGAGACAGAGCTCAGGAATGTCATTCCTCCTGGTACGAAAGAGGTGAATAAGGGCTAACACACCAAACAGAGTGTGTCTGGCTCATTCAGATGAGGCGAGAGTCTTGTTCTGCAACCTGCCCCTTCCTCAGACGGGAACGAAACAAAGCTCATAGGAGGGAGGTACAGAGCCGAACCCATTGACAACTGGGCTGGTGTCAATGTCCTTCGGATCAACCAGAGGTTTCAAGGTGAAATGCTGTAAAATGTGGGTCAGTAGTAAAAACAACTCCATGCGGGCCAGGCCTTCTCCAACACACACTCTTTTTCCTGAAAATGACACATAAATTAAATATGCATTCCATTCTATATCTGAGTTAGCACACAAAGAGGCTTAAAAAAGATGGGACGAATAAGTAAATAAATATATTAATAAAAGCCGAATTAACCTATGGCTTCTCCTACCTACATCGAAACTTGGTTTTCTTCATTTCCTCAGCACATGTTTTGTGTGCATGGTATATGAAAAGATCTTTTCTGTGCACCCACGTTGGATTGGCTTTGCTGAGAACTGTCAGTGACATCTTTCTACACACACACACACACACACACACACTCACTCACCTTAACATAAGACACACACTGTACTTTTCCATCTACCTCCAACCCAAGACTCATCAATAGGTTTGTGTCTCCTCATTGGATTCTAAAGGATAATCTTAACCTTGTCATGTCCCTGCTTTACAAAATTTCAAGAGCTTACCATTGCCAAGTCTGAAAAGAAACATCACAAACTAGCCACAAGCACTACCATTCACTAATTCCCAAACAGACTGGCAATCTTAGGTGTTATCTCAGATTCCAGTCATTCCTCCAAACGG